CAGCCTCCCAGCCATGATGTAACTACATCAGAATACCACAAGCTTCCCCGACAAGGGCATTTCCACACGTGGCCACCAGCATTGCTAGTCTTCTCCAGATGGGCTTCCCATGCCCTATGGGCATCTGTCTACAGTGCAAAGAGTTGAATGCAAAGCTCTTCTCACGTTTCCTTTTTATTATTTTATTGTTTTTTAAAGATTTTTTTATATTTGTTTGACAGAGACACAGTGAGAGAGGGAACACAGGCAGGGGGAGTGGGAGAGGGAGAAGCAGGCTTCCTGCTGAGCAGGGACCCTGAAGCAGGGCTCCATCCCAGGACCCTGGGACCAGGACCTGAGCCAAAGGCAGACACTTAACAACAGAGCCACCCAGGTGCCCCTCATGTTCACATTTGAAAAAGAAGGGAGGAGAGAAGGTGGGTGAGAGGAAGATAGGCAGGGCTCCCAGCTGTCACCATACCTTCACATAGGTTGGATCCCACTGGAGACATTCCTTGGCTGCCACAAAGGCCTCATTCCATTTCCCAAGGCTATAAAATGCATTGGATTTGTTGCAAAGCAGCACAGCCAGCTCCCTGGGGGGAACCCTGTCAGAAAGAACAGACGGGTGGTCAGTAAAGCTACCTTTCTGCAAAGACAGAAAACCACCCTTGAAGGCCACAATGCTGGGCCTGGCTGTCACCATCGCCAGTTAATGTCCCAATTTACACTTACTACGCCTGGTCCCCCAGCCCCCTCGAAAACCCAGGGCATTTGCAAAGTGTAAGTCTATCCTTCCTCCCTCCCACATCCTCTGCTCCTTTTCAGGACAAATGTTTTCTCAACACCTCGGTTCTACCTCTGCCTGATCTCCACAGATTTTTTCATTGTTTTAGAGACCACTTTGGTGAAGAAATCATGAAAATAGGAACCATCCTAAGAATGGAGAGGATGGGAGTTCCCACAGAGCATCAGCAGAGTCCAGACATTGACTGGGGCAGTGTGGGGTGAGCTCCTCCACATGCATGTCCATGCTGGATAGATGCAGAGCTTCTCACGGGAAAGGCCTTTCAGAACATGGGACCGCACCGTCCACACGGACCTACCATGACAGGTGCAGGATGAGCAACCATTGTAGTGAAGGGCCAGAGTGCAAAAGGGGATCTTACACCCTGGGGCTAATCCGTACTGTCCAATATGGTAGCCACTGACCATGTGTAGCTATTCATGTTTAATTTAATTTAATTTAAATGGAATTTAAAATTCAGTCCTTTAGCTGTATTAGCCACATTCCAAGTACTTGATAGCCACATTCTATATTACAGAACATCTTCATCATCAGAGAAGGTCCTATCAGATGGGGCTAGCCAAGTATTTGAAGGTCATAAATCAAGTTCCCAAAGTGTTCCATAAAATATGTTCTATCTTCCTACTCTACAATAACTGGTTCAAATTTAGAACTGTAGGAATTGTGTCAAGGCAGAGTGAGCCATGACAGCACCCCTGCCCACTCCTACCTCAGCATTCATCCCGTGCCGTAGGAGGCATGATTCCAAGTCGAGTCCGCACCCCTGAACTTGGTCAGCCCTCAGAAGAATGGGCTGCAGGTAGGAGGTCTGTGAAGGCCCTGGGAGCAGAGTCCATGGGCAGGAACTCCAGGGTTCTGGTACCCACGGAGTGGACCAAAGGGGTGGGAAAGACTCTGGGTGGGTAAAGCCCGTGGCCCCACAGACTCCTGCCTAGGTGGTGGGCGCAGATGGAGGGGAGCCACAGGACGGCCCTCTAAAGATTATCATGGCAGGTCCTTCTTGCCTGGGTCTAGGCATAATATGATCACGTTGGTGCCAAACCACAACAAAATTTGAAGACAAATGCAAAGAGTACCATGCTGTGTTAAAGCCCAGGTGTCATTGAATTCAAGCCACGTGTGTGGGAAAAAAACAGGTTTACACTTCTTTTTTATTGACTATTTTAATTGCAAAAGCACTACAAATCACTATAGAAAAGTTAGGTGATGCGGATAAGCATAAATAAAAAGCAAACTAAAAATCAGCTCTACTACTGCCTCACCTTCAGTGTCTTGCGTTTCCAGTTTCTATCAATAGCCATTTTTCCCTCCAGGTGAAGGGACGAGGGCCCATAAGCACAGGAAGGAGCAGTGGGGCAGTCAGGTCTGACTGGCAAGGAAACTATCCCTGCAGGTGTCCAGCCCACAGACCCTGAGGCCCCGACTGCTGTCCCCAGCTGCAGTGAGCACCGTCTGCCACTAGGGGCTCCCAGTGCCCTGTTCTCCAGATTTGCCCTCAGCTTAATGGGAGCTGCCCTCTCCCCAGGAAGTTATGACCCTGCTGTGGACTCAATTGTACCCCTCAATCCATATGTTGAAGCCCTGCCCGCCAGTGTGATGGTATTTGGAAACGGGGCCTTTGGGGAGGTAATTACGTTTAGCTGAGGTCATGAAGAGGGGCCCTTGTAATAATATTAGTGCCCTTATATGAAGAGACCCCAGAGAACCTCCTCTCTCCCTCTTTCTCTCTCTCTCTCTCTCTCCACCCTGTGAGGACACAGTGAGAAGGTAGCCATCTGCAAGCCAGGAAGAGAGCTCTCACCAGAAACTCAATTGGCCGGCACCTTGATTTCAGACTTACCAGCCTCCAGAACTTCGAGAAATAACTTCCTGTTGTTGACTCTGCCCAGTCAATGGCATTTTGTTATGGCAGCATAAGATGACTAATACAACTCCACTCCTTAGGACAACTCCTAAGGGCCAGACAGCCTACAATAGATGGCTGACTGACATAAGAAACAAAAGGTCAGCTCTCTTGCCCCAAAGTGGGACCAGTTATGCAGTACAGCTCATGTTCCAGAATGCCGCAGGGCATCAGGCTGAAGCTGCCCCCAGGTGACACACCATCCCTACCTGGAGCCTTCCCAGGCCCCATCCTGCTTCCCTCTGTCCCCTCCTCCTGAGAGCACTTGCACCTAAATCCCTATGTCATCTGTCAGGTGCAGGAAGGCAGACAGCAGCTGTGTCAGGAAGGTCATGAAAGACAATATACAAGGGTCCAGACAGAAGTCCCATTAGTGGCCCCACAGTGAGGGGTCGGTCCAGAGCCATAACCACTGCACAGCATATCCTCTTTAAGGAAGGCAGATGCTATTGGCGCCTGGGTGGCTCAATCGGTTAAATATCTGCCTTTGGCTCAGGTCATGATCCTGGGGTCCTGGAATCAAGCCCCATGTGGGGTTCTCTGCTCAGACAGGAATCTGTTTCTCCCTCCACCCCTCCCCACTTGTGCTCTTTCGCTCACTCTCTCAAATAAATAAATTCTTAAAAAAAAAAAAGAAAGAAAGAAAGAAAGTCAGATGCCTTGCACTCTAGGCCCAGCCTTGACACAGTTCTGATCTGAGCCAGGAGAGGCAGAATTACAGACCCAAACCAAGACACTCAACTCACATCAGCTAGAGTGTAGACACCAAGGTGATAGAAGGTAAGAAGTAGGAGTGATTCTGTGATTCCATTCAGTGGCATTTCCTAGCACAAGTTCAGGCTGCATGCCCCCCACAAATGACAACCGCTATTGCAGCTGTTCCCAAAGCATGGTGTGGGAACCTCTGGGGTTTCCTAAGACCATTTCAGGTGGTCTACAAGGTCAAAGACTTTCACCATAGTACAGGCTGAATCATGGTTCCTAAATATTATTACCTTTTATTGGCAAAAACAAAAACAAAAACCCTTTGCAGATGTGATCAATTTCTAGATCTTGGGGGGAGACTATCCTGGGTTAGGATTCAGTCACAAGGGTCCCTGTCAGAGCGAGACAGGGGGAGACATGATACAGAACAGGAGACCATGATACAACACAAAAGCGCACTGGAAGGATGCACTTTGAACATGAAGGAAGGTGCCACAAGCCAAGGCGTGCGGACAGCCACCCAAAGCAGAAAGAGGCAAGGAAATGGATTTTACTCTGCACAAGACCAGCCCTGCCAACACCTCACTTTTAGCTTTGCAAGACTCATTTCAGACTTTCAACCTCCAAAACTGTAAGATAATAGATATATACTATGTTAAGCCACTACATTGTAGTAATTGGGTACAGTGGTAACAATGAATAAAGACATTATGTGCCTTTTTCACACATTCTCTCGCATGTATTCCAGGAATCTTCCAGGGGCTACACGATGTGCGATATCCCAAAGAACTGAACGTGAAGCAGATAGGAGACGTCAGATGGCTTCTATTGAGAAAGAGCTCGGCAAAAAGGAAAAATGTGCCACTCTTCTCACAAAGCTTCTGGTTTTGGAAAACCTACTTATTTTTCATCAAAATACATGACTGAGTTTGACATGAAATGAGTTTCTTATTGAAATTTTAAGTAGGTGATTGAATACATATTTTAAACTTATCTCAGGTTTAAGTTCAAATCCAGGCTATACTGATAGCTTCAGCTTACATAAACAAAAGGTCTTAGGGGTCCCCCATAATTGTTAAGCATGTCATGGTACTAAAATGTTTGGGTACAGGTCGACTTGAAGCTGAAGGGCAGGGGAAGAGATGAGCCTGAGCTCCCCGGAGGTATGCACTGTCGGGGGGGAGGGGGGATGGCCCAGAGAACCAGGAAAACAAAATAAATGACAGAAGGGGAGGTTGGGGCCTTGAATCATCCCAGGAATGCTGATTCCCATCACCAGACAAAAGGCGAAGTTGTGCAACTGCCCCCTGTGTTTCACTTTCTATTTCCCCATTACTTAGTATTCTCTGAGCAGTTTCTGAGCTCCCAGTACGGAGCAGATACATAGGAAGTGGGAGGGGGAGGGGGAAGAAGAAAACAGAAACTAGGCGGTGTGATGAGGAACGGGAAGAAAACCTCAGTGACAGAGGGAGTTTCCATTTACTGAAAAAACACAAACAAAACCCAGAATCAAAGGTGGGGGTGAATCCCAGCACTTACCCCCACTGGTATAACTGTAGGAGGATCTGGATGGCTTCATCGTACTTTCTGATGGCCAGGGAGAAGTTGCCGTTCTTCAGGACCTGGTTGCCAGACTCTTTCAGCAGCTGGGCGTAAGCTGTGGGGTCCATCCTGCGAGGAGACGGAGGTAAGTCTCACTGCCTGGCCCGGCTTGGGGCCGTCTCCCTTCACAACTGCATTGCTAGGAGTCTGTGTGCTCTGGCCCCACCCACCTGCCGAGAGCACATCCTGACAACGCCCCTCACCACCAGGGGACCAGACAGGGCTTCTCATGAGACCATTTCTTCCTCAGTTCTTTTCTGACCTGGGAGCCAGAGCCGTCCTGTGGACTCTGTGTTAATGATCAGCCAGGCCCTGAGGGGAGAGGAGGCTGCCAAGCACGAGACAAGTCACACCTCGCAGGTAGCGTGCTCCCCAGAAGCGGCAGCCATCCCCCAAAAGGGCACTATTGCTCCTTTCTCATTTACCCATACAGCCAGGAGGAGACTTCGTCCCCGTGGTTCAGATGAGGAAACTGAGGCCCGCGGAGGGTAGTCACTCTGCCCAAGCATCTGTCTGCTAATGGCATTCCCCGGTTCTGACCACGCGTCCAAGTTTCTGCTCGTGACACCTGCACCACATCACCCACCAGTACCAAAACTCAGTGGGTGGTCCTTCCATTCTCTTGGGAAGGGGAAAAGAGAGGGGAAGGACAGTTCTAAAGACCTCCATATACGAGGGGCTAGGACACAAGGCTAGGACACAATCGCTGTCTCTCCTGTTCTCCTTCCTTCCTAAAACACTATAAAATAAGCCTCAGAGTATTTGTCCCTCAGATTGCTTCTTGCAGTTCATGACTTTTTGTCTTACTCTTTCTGTAGCCTCACAGACTAGCATATAACAGGCACTTAAATATTTGTGGCGTAACAGGGGTGCCTGGGTGGCTCAGTGGATTAAGCCTCTGCCTTCGGCTCAGGTCCATGATCCCAGGGTCCTGGGATGGAGCCCCACATCAGGCTCTCTGCTCAGCAGGGAGCCTGCTTCTCCCTCTCTATCTGCCTGTCTCTCTGCCTACTTCTGCCTACTTGTGATTTCTCTTTGTGTCAAATAAATAAATAAATAAATAAAATCTTTTAAAAAAAATATTTGTGGCGTAACAGATGTGAAGGCAGGACCCAGAAGGTTGACTGTTCCTGATTCTCTCTAGGATGGCCTGGGGAGTTGGAGACAAGTGCCCAGGGCCCTACCTGCCCATGGAGCCCAGGAGTGTTTGCTGGGCAAAAGTAGTAGAAAGGAGGGTATCTAGGGAAGCCTTGAGAAGCAGCACCAAGCAGAGAAAATCTGGACTCAGAAGAGATGCCCCTTGGGATCTCCTCCTCCCAGGGTGGGCAGTGGGGAAGGGGAGTCTGAAATATGAATGAGGACAATTCAGGGGTTTGCATAGGCCATATACCTGGGAGTGAGGGGTCCTACAATCTATAGGGGCGGTATTATTGACTTTAGGTAATGACTCTTTTTATTTTTATCACTTTAAATCTTGGTGAGGGGTTTTGGGACAGGAAAAGCAGATCCAACGAGATGTAAGTGGTGGCCTATTTTAAACCCATATGAACTTATCAAGGATGGGGTTTTGGAACGGCATTACGTCCCTCAGCCAGAACTGAATCTGAATGAGGCTCATGGTTCCTAAATAAGTCAGAGTATAAAATTCCACCTATACCTGCCATTAAATCACCTCTCAATTGCATGACTCGAATTTACATAAGATGACTGAGTTGAACATGAAAAAATGTTCAAGAGTTGATTGGCTACAGATAAAAATATGTTTCTCTTCTGAGTGTTGTCAGCTGTCTGTCCAGTTTTTTACACTGGCCATGACCAAACAATTAGGAAAAAGAAATCACCATTAACAACTAACAAAGATTAGTGTGCCTCTTTTGGGCTCCCTGCTCAGCGGGGAGCCTGCTTCTCCTTCTCCCTCTGCCACTTCCCCATCTTGTGTTCTCCTACTCTCTCCCTCCCTCTCTCTCTCAAATAAATTTATAAATAAAATCTTTTAAAAAATAATATGCCTCTTTTAATTTTTTTATGATGTAATCTCTATGCTCAAGGTAGAACTCGAACTCATGAGCCCAAGGTCAAGATTTGCATACTCTACCATCTGAAGCAGCCTAACACCCCAATATGCCTCTTTCAGGAATACTTTTCCACTGCAAGAAAAGGTTGAATTTGTCCTAAATGTGTAAGGCCCTAAACACAAAATCCACACAGAAATACAAGTAATTTCTAAGTATGTGGAGAGTGGATAAGCAGGGTCTGCCTCACTGGTGAGCAAAGAAATGAAGAATTACAACAGCAACGTATCACTGGAAAATACTTCCAAAAATGACCCCTAATTTTGGGGGCTGTTATATGCTGCTTACAGGGGAAATATACCACATCGTGGATAGATTTAGACTCCTGGATGTTTGCCACAGTGAAAAAGCAGAAATAACCCCAAATATCCTATAACTCATAATGGATTTGAATCAGTTATAGAATAGCCATGTGGTAGAACACCACAGAGCTATTTCAAAAATCATGTTGTAAAAGAATATTTAATGATTGGCTAAGTTAGTAAATGAAAAGTATATAATTAGGTGTATAATCCCAAATTGAAATTTTTTAAGGATTTTATTTATTTAGTTGAGAGAACATGAGAGAGAGAGAGCCCAAGCAGGGGCAGAGGGAGAGGGAAAAGCAGATTCCCCACTGAGCAGGGAGCCCAATGCAGGGCTTGATCCCAGGACCCCCAGATCATGACCTGAGCCAAAGGCAGACACTTAACCAACTGAACCACCCAAGCACCCCCCAAATTGAATTTTAAACACATATAATATATTGAAAATATGCCAAAATGTTAACTAACAGTCACACCATTGGGATTAGGCAGGTTTTTAATTTTCTTTCTTATGCTTTTCTGAATTTTCAGCTGTTCGACAATGGATGACATTAATAATCAGAACATAAATGTTATTAAAGTGAGGGCTTAATTGAAGATCTCAATTGAAGAACTCAATTGAAGAACTCTTTAAGAGCTTAACTGAAGAACTCAAACACAAAACATTTCCACTGTATTTACAAATACAATAAAAACTATCCAAGTCAGAATTTGGGGCTTTTTCATACTCCTCTAGACACCAAGAGTGAGTTCTTAATGTTAGGTGAGCAAACATCAAAGGCATTCCTTCACTTGTTTCTGCTTTTTCTTGGTAAAATCACGTCACAGGAAACAGGGGGATTGCCAACCACCCAGAAGGCTTTTTGTTTCTTAATAGGAATTATTGGCAGTCACATTCTCATTATAGGGAAGAATGCTTTACATCTCTTCCTTAGAACACAGAGGACTCAGTTGTCAAAACTTTTCTTTTTTTAACAACTGGTCCGTCTATTTATAAGATGAAATTGTTGAATACAAGTGGTAATGACAATGTGCTTGACAGGTACTGAGCACCTACTATGCGCTTTACGTCAATCATCCCACTCTCTTCTTACAAGAAAGCCCATGAAGTAGTCATGATTGTCCCTTCTTGACATACAGGAAAACTTGGGCTACTTGCCACAGAAGGCGGTGGCGCTAAAATTCAAACCCAGGTGGTATGACTTTAAACTATACCCTGGGAGCACTTGGGTGGCTCCATCTGTTATGCGTCTGCCTTCGGCTCAGGTCATGATCCCAGGTCCTGGGATGGAGCCCCGTATCGGGCTCTCAGGCTCCCTGCTCGGTGGGAAGCCTGCTTCTCCCTCTCCCAATTTCCCTGCTTGTGTTGCCTCTCGCGCATTCTCTGTCAAATAAATAAAATCTTTTAAAAAAATAAATAAATAAACAAACAAACTATACTCTGAAAGGCCAAGACAGAGGCTCACAGGTCAGCACCCAGTCAGTCCCCAAGGCATGTGATGATTTGGCCGGTACCCAGCACTCACTTCCAGTTTTGTCGGTGGTATGAAAGCTAAGAGTAGACATGGTTTTCCAGCTGTGTTGCTAGCTTTCAGTCACTTTCGCTGTGTCCCTATCAGAATTTGGGGTCTGGTTGGGGGGAGGCCTCATGCCCAAGGAAGTCAGAAGCAAGAAAAACACAAATGCACCCATTAGATTTCAAAACAAGAGACACAAACTGAGCAGACTCAGGTTGTTCAATTTCAGATTGTTGTGGCTTTTATTGCTTGTGTATAAACACATGAGATTCTGTAACTGACTTACAGGAAAAGAGCGAAACCTGCAAACAGGGGTGGGGTTGAGGCCACTAAAATGGACAAGGGAGGCTTCACCTTCATACATGATCTGAGTGCTACTCGAAATCTTCATAGAAAATTCACTTTCCTTGTTTTGAGGGGTTTTTTTCTCCTTTTTTATTAAAATCCTTTCAAAAGAACCCAAAAGCTGTCAATGATCTAAGATGAACTCTGGAATCCTGAGGATAGAGATAGTTCCAAACTGAGACCAGGGAGAACAGTTCTAAGAACTGACTCCTTCTTACTCCCCACAGGGGAGAAGGCAGCCACAGACGGTATGGGATAAAAATCCAAAGTCAGGAGGCACCTGGTGGCTCAGTTAAGCACTTGACTCTCGGTTTCAGCTTAGGTCTTGATCTCAGGGTTGTGAGTTCAAGCCCCATGTCAGGTTCTGTGCTGAGCAGGGAGCCTACTTAAAGAAAGAAAAGAAAAAAAAGAAAAGAAAAGAAAAGGAAGGAAAAGGAAGGAAAAGGAAAGGAAAGGAAAGGAAAGGAAAGGAAAGGGAAATCCAAAGTCAGAACTCATTCTGGGGTCTCCAAATTGTTTTCTTTGCCTTTCTTTCTTTTTTCCTGAGGGAATGGGTGTAAATGTGGGAGAAGCGTAGAGGTTTTCTTAAGAAACTCACATTTTTTCAAAAGACCTGTGGAAAAGTATGAAGTGTTGGGCCCAAGCTTTTCCTACCTGGGTGTTTTAAATAGAACAAGAAAGATCAGACCATCATGTTGCGTCCCCTCCCCCAATCTCAGCTGTCTCACCAGCCTGCCCTAACCCACCAAAGCCCAGCTCAGTGGCCTGCCATAAACCCTGGGTTGTACCAATCTAGCCAGTCCCCTTAATCTACCAACTTTAAATTATTCCACCTCAATTTATAGCCTCATTTACCCCCAACTACATGTACACCCAAGTCAAGATGGTGATCTGAAAACCAGTTGACTAGTCCAGCTCCAAACTGCCCTTGTAAAATTTATATCCTAAAAGCCATACTCCCAAAAAAAAGTAAACACCATAAGTAACTATCTTCCTAATATGTAGGGTCTCTTGATTGCTTTTAAATCTATGCCCCTTTTGATGAAATTTTCACTTACTCACTCAACATATTTCTGCCTCTCAAGAGGATCTAGAACTTTCAAAACACTCCAACTTTAATAGTGACAGAGAATTTACCCTGTGCTAGGCACTGTCCTGGGCATCGGGGGTTTGGCGGTGAAAGGACCACCACTATCCCACCCTCAAGAAGTATATTGTCTGTGAGGGAGATGAACATTAAATAAATAATCACACAAATATTATAGCTGATGGAATTTTCTTCTGGAGCAGAAAAAGTAGAGGGTATAAGAAAGCACGCAAAAGGAGCATATAACTTTAGAACGTGGGGGCAAACAGGTCTCTCTTGAAAGTGACATTTAAGCCAAGATCCAAAAAATGAGTAGTTGGCCCAGTGAAGAGTAGGGCAAGGGGAACGGTATATGCAAAGTCCCTGAGCTTCACAGTTCAAGAAGTGCCACGGGGTAGGGGACAGAAGTAAGACTGGGGAGGCGGTAATGGCTGCCAGGAGATGGACAACCTGGGACCATGAAGGCCATGCGAGGGCTTAGAATTCATCTTAAATGCAACTGGGAAAGCAGCACTGTCCATTACAACTTTCTATGATGACAGGAATCTTCTGCTCTGTACTATCCAATACAGTAGCCACTAGCCACGTGCGGCTATTACACCTTTGAAATGTAGCTGGTCCAACTGAAGAACTGAATTGTTTATTTAATTTTCACCAACTTTAATGAATATAGACACAGGTGACCCGTGGCTGCCATGCTGGACAGTACAGAGGTAGAGGGTTGTGAGCGGGGGATTAATAAAAACTAACTGCCTCATGCTGGCTGCAGGCAAGATGGAGAGAAACGGGCCACTGTAAGACACAGTCAGGAGGCAGACAGACTCCATGGGAGGAAATCACCGGGAACGTCAACACCAAAGTTTTAGTCAAATCTGACCTTGCATTACAGAAATAGAAGCTCTGGTTTCAAACATAAATACATGTAATGTTGAATTATCTTCTACACACACACAGCCTAGCCCCTGAGGAGAGCCATTCTGAGGACACCGAATCAGATGGTACCTGCTCTGTGAAGCACACAATTTAGGGAAATACACAAGAGCCTAAAGATGGGTCATCTGTGACAATCAGGGTTGTACCACGTAGAAATATATTCTGTAGTGGAAAAAAAGAAGTACCTAGAGAAAATTTTCTCTACCACTTTAAAATGTTTATATATGGGCATCTGAGTGGCTCAGTCAGTTAAGCATCTGCTTCGGCTCAGATTAGGATCCCAGAGTCCTGGGATCGAGCCTCGAGTCAGGTTCCCTGCTCAGTGGAGAGATTGCTTCTCCGTCTCCTTCTGCCACTCCCCCTGTTCGTGCTCTTTCTCTCCTTTTAATAAATAAATAAAATTTTAAAAAAATAAATAAAATGTTTTTATAAAACTTACTAATTTTTAAAGGATGATACTAATGTGATTACAGGCAGGCCAGCAGAACAAAACAGAATACCTGGAAACAAATATATTCTATGAAAAAATTCCACATGTGATAAAGATGACTTTTTAATGGATAGGAAAAGAATGAATCGGTTTGGTACAACAGGCTATATATCTGGAACGTAGTAGCCCAAACAGGAAACACACACACCCCTCGCAAAAATGTCTGTGCCCCAAAGCCCAGAACCTGTGAATGCAAAAGGGGCTCTGTAGATGTAATTAAGATTACAGGCCTTTGGATAAGGATATCATCCTGGATTCCCTGGGAGAGCACAGCCTGATCATATGAACACTGAAAAGCAGACAACCTTCTCTGGCTGGAGTCAAGAAGATGCTGGAAGAAGGCAAGAGAGATGCAGCAGAAAATGTGAAACTCGAGAACCTCCAGACTCATCACTGACTGCCTCGACGATGGAGAGGAGGCAATTTCAAGAGGAAGGCAGGTGGCCCTGGAACCTGAGAGAGGCCCCTGGGTGACAGTCAATGAGGGCCCAGGGCCCTCAACGCTACTGCTGCGGGGAGCTGGGTGCCGCCAGCAAGGTGAATGAGCCTAGAAGGCACTTCTTCGCAGATCCATCCAGGAAGAGCCCAGCCAGCCAACACCTTGACTTCAGCCTTGTGGAACCTGCCCAGTTAACCCAGACTTCTGACCTCCCAACTGTGACCCAATTCATTTATGTGGCCACCAAAACTGTGGTCATTTGTTATGGCAGCAACAGAAAACCAATACAGATTGTGTAATAAACAGCACAGCAACATACAGAAACTTAAAAATAGTATGATGAGCAAAAGAAGCCAGACTCCAAAGAATGTCTACTGTGTGGTTCCGCTTGGATGAAGTTCTAGAACTGGCAAATCTCAGAAAGCAGAACAGTGTTGCCTAGGGAGGGAAGGCTATTGACTGGAAAGGGGCACGATTGCACTTTTATGGAGAATGAGAATGTTCTATATTAAAGCACTGAACAGTACACGTAAAATCGGTGCCTTTGATTACTTGCAAATATCTCACTTTTTTAAAAACCATTGAGAGAAGGAAACCATAAAGACAGTGAGAGAAAATGTAGGTACAAATTTTAGACCATCTGCAACAGCTCTAGGAGGAAATTTGAGAATACTGAACCAAGTGACACATACATACAGCCTCTGACCCAGCAATTTCATTTCTGGAAACCAATCTTACAGACGGATTGCACACACCGGAAAGGGAAAATGTACAAGATTATTGACTTGCCAAGTTGTAATTATAAAAACTAGGACCAACATTAATGACCATTAGCAGGAGATTGGTTTCATAAATTGTAGCGTAGCCCCCACAACAAAGTCTTACAAAAGTGAGAAAGAAAAAAAAAAAAAGAATGAAGATGCTTTCTATGTACTGATCTGGGATAATCTCCAAAATATATTTGAAAAAAAAATGCAGAATAGCATGTATATCACCTTACCTTTTGTACAAGTTTAAAAAAAATAGAGGGAAAAGTTGAATAAGAATTTATATTCGCATTTGCCTACATGTGCATAAAGAAGTTCCAGAAGGAAAAAAAGTTCTGGAAGGATCCACCAGAAATAAAATTATTTACCTTTATTGGGAGATGGGGCAGAGGGCTGAGTAGGGAGACCTACTCTCTCCTTTCCATGGAAACCTTTTATATTTTTGGATTCTTGAATTTGATAAATTAAAAAAAGTTTTAATGCAATGAAAAACACTGTATGTAATCGTCACACTCAAGAAGGCCATTCTAATGATAGCAAAAGCAGAAACCATAGACAAGAATTCATTAAAAATTAAAAGCTCTCCGGCGCCTGGGTGGCTCAGTGGGTTAAAGCCTCTGCCTTCGGCTCAGGTCATGATCCCAGAATCCTGGGATCAAGCCCTGCATTGGGCTCTCTGTGCCGCAGGGAGCCTGCTTCCCTTCCTCTCTCTCCCTCTGTGCTTCTCTGCCTACTTGTGATCTCTGTCTATCAAATAAATAAATAAAATCTTTAAAAAAACATTAAAAGCTCTTGTACATCAAAAAGCCCCCAAAACACCCAGAGTCAGTGAGATGATGGGTGGAGAGTCACACATAGAGCCGATGACCAGGTAAAGTGGGGGTTGTCGTCTAGGGGAAAAAATGCACATACTTCCCCACTAGCTAGTTCACTAAATGGGTGTGTATTCTACAAACATGTTTCTTTCACGTACCTGAGGATATTAACTGCCTTTCCCTTTGTGAAAGCAGAACTACGATACAGATCCAAAAGTCTGATAAGTGGAGACTTTATACAAAGAAAGGTATGGCTGACTGCAGACCACGATACAGTTGTTAAAACCATGAAGCTGATCGAAGTAAGAGGAAACCATGTCAAGATGCGCAACAAATGTGGATAAAGCAACCTGGAGACCAATTTGTAGAGGTACTTGGGGAGCTTAAGGGGGTGGGTGGGTGGGTGGGTGTGGGAGTGTGTGTATGTGTGTACACACTTGACCTACTGAAAGAATTTCTGGAAGGCCTTAAGAAGCAAACAAGAGCGGGAGAGCAGGTCTCCCCATTCCCCAACAATGACAGAATGAACTTCTGTTGAGGTAAGTCACCCAGGACATGGTCATTTGTTCTTGCAGCCCTAGGAAATGAAGGTGACACCTCTCTGAATATGTTCAGAGAACCATATGCATAGAAAGGACTTAATAAAGTGAGGCCTTTATTATCAGAAAGACCTCACTTTATTAAGAACTAAAATTTCTGGAGCAAGGAAGCCAAGGCTCAAAGGTTCAGGGGCCTGACCACGGTCCCACTGTAGTGAGCACCAGAGCTGAAACCCAGGCTGACTTCCCAGCCTCCGCCTTGGCCTCACGGTCCACAGCACTGTTCATGGGCAGGAAAGCAGAAACCAAAAGCCAGGTCTTGCCCCTGGTCTGCGAAGGTTCTGGTTAATGGTACTGGCCGTGACGACCTCTGTAGGTAATTTGACTGTAATCCCTGCAACATTTACAGAACCTTTGCTTTGTTTACCCAGCAAAGAGAAAATATTTGGTCAAAAACACAGGCCTAGTATTGGCCTGTTTTGACAGGGGTTCCCTGAAATTAACAGTCAGTTAAACCGCTACAGCTGAGAAAATCTGATCTTCCAGGCCTTCCTTGGATGAGAAGTGGGAAAGGGTCAGCACTGTAGCATCTGAAAATGGCCCCAAGCTTCCACTACTGTGATGGTTCCTTTGAAAAGGAGGGCCCGCCTCCTGCTTACAGGCCCTCATAAACCCTTATCAGCTGGGCAGTCATCAGGGTGAGCTCGCTCTGGGACGGCTGCTCAGCTCTCCACAGAGGCCTGAGGGGAGGTGTGAGGTGCACAGAGGTAGGCCCCAGGGCCCCCCCACATGCTCTCTGTGCCAGACCTGCGGGCCAGAGTTTCCTGACAGAACACTTCCCTGGGACTTTTGAGTCAGAACTTTGGGAAGAGCCTCCTCTGGTAGTGGCAGCTAATGTAAGAGGCTCCAGAGGGGTACAGCCTTACCCCCCACCCTCAGAAGAAGCCACTCTGGACTGAGAACATATAATACCTATACCCAGAGAGAGCAGAAGAGGGATTCCCTCCACATTCCCCCGCCTCTGAGCCCCAGCTACTTCCCTATCCCTTCCCTAGTTACTAAAGATATCAGCAACTTTCTAGAACTTTCCTCCTTTTACCTAAACAATTTGAGTTTTTATTTGCATGACTGGAAAGAAGGAAATGAGAGTGGCTTGCCCATTTCATCCTTCTCTGCAGGTTCACATTAGACAAAGGTCTATATCAGGGGTGTCCTGCGCCCGCCCCACCCCAGACATCTCCACTCAGAGTAATCCTTCCTGCAGGGCCTTACAAGGCCTCAGAATCCTCCACCGAGCATTCACTCTAGGTGGCTCACATCCATGCCCTAAATGAATCCTACGTGCCATTCCAAGTTGCACACCAAAGATTTGGGCTAAAAATCAACTTGTCCATCCAAACACAAACCCCGGAAGTGCGGTAACTAGGAAACAACAGGCTGAAGACCAGGCAACTGGTCCCCACCTCTCCTTCAGCTTCATCATCCCTAAGAAGCACAGAGGCGCCAGAACAGCCGTCTCCAAGTCTGATTTGCACACACTCTCTAGAGACAGCTTCCCCATTGGTCTGGGTTACTACAGTGTTTGCCTTGTGATCTTCCCCCAGCCTCCCCCAGCTCCAGCTCAGCCTCCTCACCACCATTGGCGAGATGGTCCCCAAATCCATCCAGGAGCTCCCATCCCACCTCCTCTCGGGCATCATTCCCATGAAAGTTCCCAAAGATTTCAGACCCTGTGTGCAGCTTTTATAAGGTTTAACACTGTGAGTTATGGTCTACTGCTCTCGACATACATCTCCCACATAGCCTTTATGCTTCGCACCCAGTGCTAGGTTTTTCTGCTTTCCCCTGCAGACCAGACTCTTCAGGCAGAAACTAAGTCTTACCAAGTCTTATTATGCCTGCAATCAAGGGCTTAGCATTGTTAAATGAATAAATGACTTTCTGGCTATTTCTTTACTCATCAGATTAAGCTGGAGGAATGGGAAAGGAAGAAAGGTTCTGGAGTTTAATTTGAACTAGACAATTTCACTCCTGGTTTCAGATTTCTGACCATCTCCTAGAAAGCCAAGAATGTCAGCTGTTCCTTGGAGAAGGACACACATTTAATAAAAAGCCAACCACCTAAAGGACAAACAAGAGACAACCAGATAAGTCCAACCAAAATCTGCAAAGCTGTTGGCTTCTTGGGGAAAACAAATTTATAAGCATCTGCTGCAAATTCAACAGACAAAACACAGGGCCGTATATTCCCATATGAAATTATATTCCTGGAAATTCAGAAATACTGAAAGCAAAGAAATCCTATAGATCAGTGGTTCCTAGACTTTTGGAACTGACAAACAAACATTTATGCACACAGAAAAGAAACTGAAGGGTCCCAAGGGGCCTGGGTGGCTCAGTCAGTTAAGTCTCCAACTCTTGATTTTGGCTCAGGTCATGATCTCAGGGTCCCGAGATAGGGACCAGCACCAGGCTCTGTGCTCAGTTTGAGATTCAATCTCCCTTTTCCTCTGCCCTTCCCCCCAGCTCACACATACACACAATCTCTCTCTCTAAAAAAAAAAAAAAGAGAGAGAGAGAGAGAAAGAAAGTGAAGAGAACCTAAATAGACTTGCCAACTCTTTATTTTACCAAATAAGAACACTTTTTAGAAGATTTTATTTATTTGACAGAGAGAGACAGCGAGAGAGAGAACACAAGCCAGGGGAGTGTGAGAGGGAGAAGCAGCTTCCCGCTGAACAGAAGGGAGCCCTATGTGGGACTCGATCCCAGGACCCTGGGATCAGAACTTGAGCCCAAGGCAGAAGCTTAACAACTGAGCCACCCAGGGACCCCAAGAACATTTTTTTAAAAGCGTACCATCAGGGGACTCCTGGCCGGCTCAGTCACTAGAGCATGTGACTCTTGATCTCAGAGTCATGATTTCAAACCCCACATTGGGCACAGTTTATTTTAAAATTTTTTAAGATTTTTGTTATTTATTCATTTGAGAGAAATACAGAGGCCGAGACAGAGAGAGCACAAGCAGGAGAAGAGTCAAAGTGAGAGGAAGAAGCAGACTCCCCACTGAGCTGGGAGCCTGACATGGGGCTGGATCCCAGGACCTGGAGATCAGGACCTGGCGATCATGACCTGAGCCAAAGGCAGACGCCCAACTACCTGAGCCACCCAGGTGCCCCAATTTAAAAAAAATTTTAAAAGGCTTACCATCTACTGCCCCCATAATTTCACAAAAGAAGGGATTTTTTAATTGCCATCCCCCAAAAAGGAGAAAGAATATAAACTCAGACTAAAGAATGCCATTCTTGCAAAAGGATGAGCCAAGAGCCTTCCAGTACATTGTAGCTTTGGATGGTGTGCAGATAGAATGAGCTTGGAGAGCAGACATTCCAAATTCCTAAAATCACATCAGGTTCCTGGAAGGTACTCAAGAAATATTGCTAAGGGCAAAGATGGATCAATTACAACTCCTAGTTCTGAAGTGGGGTCCCAATCACTTGACCTCCCTCCCAGCTGGGAGCCCGTGATGGGCATGACTTCTCCTCAGTGTGTGCACAGACTAGCACCCTTCCATTTTGCTATTTGCATGAGAGTAATCTGAGGCAACCGAGTAACTACAGCTGAAATTTACTGAGAACTTATGATGTGCCAGGCCCTGTGCTAAGCCCTTCTTGGGCATTTTCTCATGGAACATCCCTAACAATGCTAGTGAGGGAGGTATGATTTTTACCCCAGTAGTACAGGTCAGGAAACCATTTTCATCAAGGGGAAGGGACTTCTCCAAGCAAGGTACAAATGCAAGTCTGATACCAAAATCTGTGTTCACAACTCTTTAGAGAAGATGGATGTAGAAAGGGTGAGAGTGATTGGAGGAAAACAGAAGGGATGGCCTTCAAAATTAAAATCAAGTTCAGGGACACCTGGCTGGCTCAGTCAGTACAGCAGGTGACTCCTAATCTCAGTTGCAAGTTTGAGCCCCACATTGGGATACAGATTACTTAAGAATAAAATCTTAAAAAAATAAATAAATAAAGTCTCTATAAAAGCAAACCTGAAGGAAACTGAAAAGTGAGCATTCCACACTCTGCCTGAGGAAGGTAAGCATCAGCCAGCACAGGTCACTCACAAATCCTGACTCTGACTCAGGGTCTGTGCTAAATCCAGGCTCCCCAACAACTGCCACATTTCCCCTCAGTTAGCTTTCCCACTCTCTCTTCGAGCCCCTGGGAGCTAGAGATGGTTGTGAAGTCAAGGGAGCCCCCAGTGAGGACACGGGGCCCTCCTATGACAGCCCTTGGAAAATGGTGCTTTCTCATTCAAAGGAGAACTTGGAGTTTGATTATAAGAAGCCCTGTCATCTTCTCCTTCAGATCTACCGCCAAGCCTCTCTTTAATCATTTAAATGCTAGTTTATGGCCCCCATTCTACCTCCCACCTTCAAAACCACAGTTGTCTGCTTCTGCTTCAATCTGGAAGGCAAGACAAAGCCAGCAGAGGGTTAGAACACCATCCACTACAGCCTGGGGAAGGGCCCAGAGGTGCCCAGGAGCTCCCCATAAACAAAACAGTCTCCCCCAGGCAGGGACCCTGAAAGGCACACCTGGTGAAGGGAAGTCCCTTAGCAGTGCTAGGAGGACCTGAGTTCTAGTCTCACCTCTAACACCCTTTGACAGATTCCTGAAACATGGGGAACTTGAACTTGGCCTTGAAAAAAGTATGAACTTTGGCCAACCTGAATAATTATTCATCCACAGTCTCAGCCTTCTAAATAAAACAGAGTCTCACACACACACACACACACACACACACACACACACACACACACACTTCATCTTAGCTTTCCAGTATTCTCCAACCTAATACGCCTACCATGTTGTAGCCACATAACCCTAAATTCTTCTGGCTCCCTCCCTCTCATATGCCTCTGCAGTGCTGAAGCTAATGCCAGA